TTAAAAAAATTTTTTTAAGTAATAGTTAAAAATAAAAAAGGAGGGCCGGCCCGGTGGCGCACTGCTATAGTGCGTCGCTTGGGAAGCGCGGCGGCACTCCCGCCGAGGGTTCGGATCCCACATACAGACCAGTTCCCGCTCACTGGCTGAGCGAGGCGCGGGAGCAACACCGAGGGTTGCGATCCCGTTGCTGGTCCCAGTCCGGTACGGGGGCGACACTGAGGGTTGCGATCCGTTGCCGGACACGGAAAAAGACAAAAAAGGAAAAAAAAAAAAAGTGTTGTCTACATAGATTATCTCCTTAGTACTCTTTCCACAAATAAAACACCACCAACAGATATACCATCTACTGTCCTAGCTACAAATATTTGCAAATGAAGAATCTGTCAAATAACTCATTTTATTTCAGAAATTATTCATATCTCTTTAGGCAAAAGACTAAGCCCTTCATTGCACATGTTATTAGCATGTCTTCAACACATCCAGATAATTTAAAACCAATGTATATTTTTAAAAAACTAGAAACACTCCCTCAGAGTCCTCCTGCAGTGCACACCATTCGCCTGACTTTTCTCCTACTATTTTATCTCCATCCTTCAAGCACCTTTTTCAATAAGCAAAAACTGAAATAAACCTGCATACATTGGGGTACAAGAATCACATTAATTATAAAAGAATACGAAATTGCTGAAAAGAAACAAGACTCTACTAATGAACAGTCTTTTATACTGACAGATCTAGGACTGCTTTATGATGATAACATGAACAGAGAAGGAAAATAAGACATGGGACATAAAATCCTTTATGCATCTCTGCATTCCCTCCAGGAAGCTGCCTTACTTGTAAAAAGAACAATTCTTAGGGCCGGCCCGGTGGCGCACTGCTACGGTGCGCCGCTTGGGAGTGTGGCGGCGCTCCCGCCGAGGGTTCGGTTCCCACATACAGACCGGTTCCCGCTCACTGGCTGAGCGAGGTGCAGGTGCAACACTGAGGGTTGCGATCCGTTGCCGGACACGAAAAAGGAAAAAAAAAAAAAGAACACTTCTTAGGCACTTCAAATATTCAGGTAAGTCAAGGCAATGAAGGACCATACCTCATTTCTAGGGAAAAAAAAAAAAAGAACAATTCTTAGGCACTTCAAATATTCAGGTAAGTCAAGGCAATGAAGGACCATACCTCATTTCTAGCTTTTGGACGATCAAGAAGAATTTTCAGTGCAAACCGTTCTTGGGTAGATTTCCTCACACAGACTCTAGATTTGAAGGGGGAAAAAAAACCAATCAGAGATCACCTATCTTAACAGTGAAAGTTAATTTAACAACTTTGTTTTTTGAGAATTATGCTTTTAATCATGGATATGTCCAGGTGCACCAGAACAAACTTGCCTCCAGAGCCAGCAGGAGGCAAGGCAGAGGAGCATGTCAGCCCCCTTCCCAGAGACCAGTTCTCAGGCCTCAGCTCCTGAGCCATGTGACATCAACCCACCACAACAGCCCAATGAAGAAATAATGGGCTCTGCTGGCTACAGGGGACATTCAGTGGCCCCACAGTCTCACCATCTTAAATTAGTCCATATTACAGACCATGTGACTTAGTCATTTAACTATATTTCTAAACATATGAGAAAAAGCCTAATATAAAAACCTGTACTTGTTAACTTAAGGCTATTCCTCAAATCTGACACATCTAAGCTTCTAATTCAAGACCCATTTCCAATGACCCTTCTCAGAGCAATTTTGCCATAGTTCTTATGTGGGTCTCTTACCTAACCGGACCACTGATTCCAGCTCCCAGCTTCTGAGTCCAATTAATATTGTATTCTTCTAAAATGGAGGTTTCCTATTAAAATAAAAAAGTGAGAGGGCAGAAGATGATTTCCCAATTAAAAACCTAAATAATTAAGCAGAGGTGGGACAACAGAAGACCGATCACTCAATATCTCATCCTATAAGAGAATGTGATAAGCAGAGCTTTGTGTTCTACAGGGCTTTATAATTAGACATTAAATTAGGCCTTGTTTTCCAACAAGAAAGCAAAGATTCAGGCCTTATACAAGTATGAGTAGAATAGTGGTTACTAGACTGGGAAAGGTAAGAGAGAGAGGGATAGGGAAAAGTTGGTCAATGGATACAAAATTACTGCTAGAAAGGAGGAATAAATTCTAGTGTTTCAAACGGCTAGAAGAAGAATGTTTATATTCCCAACACAAAGAAATGACAAATGTTTGAGGTGATGAATATGGTAATTACCTAGAATTGATCATTATACATTGTATACATGCATCCAAATTTCACAGTGTACCCTGTATATATATGTACAACTATTATGTGTCAATTAAAAATGATTTTTTTTTTAAGTGAGCCTTCTAGCCTGGGCTCCTGCCATCCCCCTTCCCCTCTATCCCCATTGCCTAAAGCATAGTCAGTTGGTGACAATGCTAGTTGTAAAGTTAGGCAAATCATAACTAAAGCCAAAATGTTCTGTTATTTTAGTTATACTAAGTTTCCATTTATATTGTCAGAGCTAAAGCTCACACCCTTCAAACCCACTGTACAGACTGGGTCCCCAGACCCCTCACATGACAGGCTGGGTTCCCAGACCCCTCACAAATAGGTCCATGCTAGGTAATTGGGAAAGATCCGGGGAGCTGCTGGCAGACAACATGAGCTCAGAGCTCAGTCCTCAGATCCTCAGTAGCAACAGCAGCTTACAGATCCAGCAGCAGCAGTGGCAGCCTCTTGGGGCATCTCAGGGGCCCTGGCAGCAACAGCCTCCAGCAGAAGTAGTGGCCTCCCCATGGGCCCCCACCCCAGGGAACCCGTAGATCAGAGCCACTCGTTCTTTATACTTAAATCTGATAACCCAGGACACCTGGGTGCAAGCTGGACAACCCAGGAACACCTAGGAGCCCAAACACATCTACATCAGACAATAACCAAGGAACACCTGGGTGCACATGCATATTTACATCAAATGATCAGCAAGATTTTGAATATCTGAGGGAGCTCTGACCATTTTCCTATATTTTCCCAACAATCCCTAAAGAACAACAAAATGAAATTATTTTCTATCCTGGAACTCTGGCCTGAGAGTTTGAACTTCTTTTCAAAAATAAGGAAACACAGATGTTTATCCAGAAATATTAAGATCTGCTCATCTGCTCTTCAGTTTCAATTCTGGTCAAGGCAATGGATGAAGAAGAAACCTGAAACTAAAACCTTGCATCACAAAGGGTACCACTAAAAGAAAGAAAGGAAGGAAGGAAAGAAAACAGAGAGAGAGAGAGAGAAAGAGAAAGAAAAGCAAAGCATATTTATCAATTGGGAAAACTTTATCCTGCACACCCTGTTACCACAATATTTTCAAATAAGTAAATTAACTTTTGCTTCCTCTATTTAAAAATGAATCAGTTGGGCTGAGCCTGTGGCGCACTCGGGAGAGTGCGGCGCTGGGAGTGCAGCAGCGCTCCCACCACGGGTTCGGATCCTATATAGAGATGACTGGTGGGCTCACAGCGCTCACTGGCTGAGCGTGGTGTGGCCAGTCTCAAAAAAGGACAAAATAAAATAAAATAAAATAAACAAAAATAAAAATGAATCAGTTAATTTATTGCATCACATCCTTCCAACTTTACTGTATGTTTGAAGATATGTTAAGAAAAAATATATAAAATGCAAATCTGACCTTTTAAAAAATGGCTTAATGGGCCGGCCCGGTGGCGCACTGGAGAGTGTGCCACTTGGGAGCATGGCAGCGCTCCCGCTGAGGGTTCGGATCCCATGTGGTGACCGGTTCCCGCTCACTGGCTGAGCGAGGTGCAGGCGCAACACCGAGGGTTGCGATCCCGTTGCCGGTCGGTGCTGGCGCGACACCGAGGGTTGCGATTCCGTTACCGGTCACGAAAAAAGACAAAAAGGAAAAAAAAAAAAACTGAGCAGAGACATCAGTATACCACAGGGAAGTCAGATTCCAGTTTAATTCTAGGCAATTTACCAAACATAATAAGCCACAGGTGGAAAAATCAGAATCCAGAGTCACTACAATACATTATCTAAACGGTCTGGTTTTCAGCCAAAAGTTATTACACATGTAAAAACCAGGAAAGTGTTACCCAAGGTCAGGAAAAAGAGAAATCAATAGCAATTGTCTCTCATTGGACACAAATACTAGATTTAACAAAGTCTTAAAAGCAATTATTTTAAATATATTTGGGGGGGGAGCTGGCCCGTGGCTCACTCGGGAGAGTGCGGTGCTGATAACACCAAGGCCACGGGTTCGGATCCTATATAGGGATGGCCGGTTGGCTCACTAGCTGAGCGTGGTGTTGACAACACCAAGCCAAGGGTTGAGATCCCCTTACCGGTCATCTTTAAAAAATAAATAAATAAATAAATATATTGAGGGGTAGCTAGTTAGCTCAGCTGGTTAGAGCAATGCCTTGTCAAGGTCAAGGGTTAGAATCTCCATAACAGCCAGCCACCAAAAATCAAACAAAAAATTTTTTAAATAAAAGAAAAGTTAAATAAATAAATAAATATGTTCAAAGAATTAAAGGAAACAATGACACTGAGTCAAAAATAGGGACATTCAATAGAGAAACAGAAACCATGAAAAGGAACCACATTAAATTCTAGATTTGAAAAGCACAAAAACCAACATGAAAAATTCATTAGAGGCATTCAACCATAGATCTCAGGTGGCAGAACTACCACAGAACTTGAAGACAAAGAAATGATGAAATCCAAAAAATAGACATAAAAAATATTAAATAAAAAAACAAGACCTGTGGAATTATGTCTGGCATTCCAATTTATGTGTAATAGGAGACCCAGATAAAGAAGAGAGTGGGGGAGGAGGAGATATTTGAAAAAATAATAGGCAAAAACTTCCCAAACATGATGAATAACAGTAACCTACTGCTTCAAAAAGCTCGACAAACTCTTATCTAAATAGGATATGCACAAAGGGAACCAGATGCAGACACATCACAGTCAAAATACTGAAAGACAAGAAGAAAGAGAAAATCATATAAGCAGCAAGAAAAAAATAACATCACATACAGGAGAACAGCAATACAAATAAAGGCTGACTTTTCATCAGAAACAATAGAGGCCAGAAGACAGTAAAATCACATATTCAAAGTACTGAAAGAAAATAAAGGTCAAACAAGAATTCTATATTGAACAAAACTATCCTTCAAATAAAACAGTAAAGTTAAGACATTATCAAACAAACACTGAAAGAATTCATTGGTAACAGAAGTCGCCTACAAGAACTACTAAAGGAAGACCTTCAGAGAGAAGAGCAATGTCTCCAGATGATAACTTGGATCCACAGGAAAGAATAAAGAGTACCAGAATAGGTAAGTATGAAAAAATGTTGTTTTCTTCTCTTAATTTCACAAACATACTTAAGATTATTTAAAGCAATAGTTATTAAACTGTAACTCTGGGGTTATACCATATACAGATATACTGTACGTGACAATAAGAACACAAAGGAGGAAAAAAGAAATAGAACTATATTGGAACAAAGGCACTATATCTTACCAGATTTAAGTCAACATTAACCCAAAGTACAGTCTACTGTGATAAATTAAAACAGCATATTATAATCCCTAGAGAAACTTTTCCAAAAATATACCTAAAAAAATCAACAGAGAAACTACACCACATGGTAACTTGGATAAAGAGGAATGCTTCAATATCCAATAACTTGGATAAAGAGGAATGGTTCCTCATAGGAACCAAAGGATTATAAAGGAAAAATATAAACAACTTTATGCCAACAAATGAGACCACTAGATAAAATGGACAAATTCCTAGAAAGACACAAATTATCAAAACTGACTCAAGAGAAAGAGAAAATCTGAATAGACCCATAAGTAAAAAAAATTGAATAACCAAATATCTTCCTACAAAACAAAGGAGTAAAAAGAAACGGAAAATACATTGTAGGTCAACATAAAAGACTGTAAGTACATTTTACCCCCTTTTTTCTTATTTAAAACACTTAAGACTGCATAAAGCATTAACTGTAAAACTGTATTTTCAGTTTTGTAATATCTACATGCATAATATATATGACAATAAACACAAAGGAAGAGAATGGAGCTAAATTAAAGCAAAGTTTCTATACTTTACTAATTAAGTTAGAATTAATTTAAAGTTGGGCCGGCCCGGTGGCGCACTGCTATAGTGCACTGCTTGGGAGCGCGGCAGCACTCCCGCCGAGGGTTCGGATCCCACATACAGACCGGTTCCCGCTCACTGGCTGAGCGAGGTGCGGGCGCAGCACCGAGGGTTGCGATCCCGTTGCCGGTCCGGTCCGGTACGGGTGTGACACTGAGGGTCGCGATCCATTGCCAGACACAAAAAAAGACAAAAAGGAAAAAAAAAAAAAAGAATTAATTTAAAGTTAGTATTAATCTGAAATGTTCTGTGATAGACCATATTCTAGATCATAAAACAAATCTCACTGAACTTAAAAGAATTGAAAATATATGAAATTCTCCAACTACAATACAATTAAGCTAAAGATCAACAGAAGGAAATTTGGGAAATTCACAAATATTTAGAAATTCACACATTTCTCAATAATCAATGGGTCAAAGATGATTTAACAAGGAAAAATTTTTAAGATTTTATCTGAATGAAAATGAAAACACAATTTGCCAAAATTTATGAGCTACAGCTAAAGCACTGATTAAATGGAAATTTATAGCTATAAATGCCTATATTAGAAAAGATCACAAATCAATAACCTAATCTTCTACCTTAAAAAAAATCAGAAAAGAGCAAACTGTACACAAAGCAAGCAAAGAGAGGAAAATAATAAAG